AGCCAGCACAGCTGGCTGGGGAATTCTGGGAGTTGAAGTCCACACATCTTAACGTTCCCAAGGTTGGGAAACACTGGTTAAGAGGGTGTGAGGAGCCTCTTGTTAGTGGAGGAAAGGTTCCTGTCTATGCACCATGGGCTAGGAGGAATCCATGGGCCAACTCGATTGCAATGCCTAAGTGACTCCCAGCAACAGGAACTTCCCTTATTTCTTTGGAGCCCTGGCCTGTGCGTGGTGGGTCAGCCAAGATTCCAATGTCGGTGGCTTTTTTCATTTCCTTCTTGGTTTTCCAGCTCCTTCTTACAAAGGCAAGAACGCAGAGGAAGGCGATTCAACTTTTGAAGCGTACACTTAAAGGGGGTTACAAGGCTGGTGGGTCCAGAAGGAATTAAGCTGGCTGGGTCAGGCAGAACAAGAGCAGGCTCAGGAAAAGCAGAAGCCTGCGAGAAAGCAGGGGTGTCTCCATCACGGCCAGCATCTTGACTTTTCTGACAATGCCCCTGGAGAAACGGAAGGCTCTCTCGGTAGGCACTGCCCCTCACCCAGGTCCAGCAGCCAAGAGCTCATGGGGGCTAAAACACTGGCCCAGAGCAGGGCATTCAGAAAAGTGGATGCACAACTAACCATGTTCACATCCACTGAGAGCTTTGCATCTGTTCTTCCAGATGCGTTTCAGACATCTGGGGCAGGTGTTGCCATCCTGTGGTTTGTTCAGTTGGGTTTAGACAGTGACACAAACCCAGACAGTGATAGGGGATTCAGATTCCCCGTGTTTAAACACTGGGAAGTTAGCACTGTGTGGGAACCAGGTCAATGCCTCGTGGTGCAGGCCACCCATTCCCAAACTGGTGGTCCCCAGACCTGGAGGGCTACTATTTCCACCATTCTCACCCATGTAAATAGCAGGGATCGGTACTGTGGTCTAGCCAATCTGCAGAACATCAGTTGCAGGAGTTTTACTGTTATACAACTATTTCCTTGACACAGAGAAGAACTGAGCAGTGATTTTCAAACCAAGTTTAGTTCTTGGAGAGCTGTTCATCAGAAACCAATAAAGACCCCATCTGCCCCCTGCAGGCCACAGACTGTAAATAGAAGCTAGCTTACTTGCTGTAGAACAGTGTTTCTCAACCTTGGGAACTTTAAGATGTGTGGACTTCAACTCCCAGAGTTCCCCAGCCAGCATAGAGTTGAAGTCCACACATCTTAAAGTTCCCAAGGTTGAGAAACACTGTCATAGAGTAAAACAAGAGAGAAAATTATGATAATCCTACAATGTAAAGAACAACAGGTAGGCTTTATTTAAAAAAAAAAAAAACGCAAGGGGAATATATAGGACCGCATCACAAAATTCCCTTAATGGACTTTGGAGCCCATGATCAGCAGCTTCTGAATCCACCACTGCAACATTTCAGGCTAGCAGTGGTTGGGGGGCGTCTGTCTCGTTACAGAAGTGTGCACAGAAGCACACACCAGTCAAAGTCACAACTGCAACTGAAATCATTTCCTTCCTCCCTCCCATCTCCCTCAGGGTCCCCAGAGGGCCAAGGAGAAGGGGTCACTGGCTAGACTCCCTCTTGGCAACCTGGACGGGGTAGGAGTGGGGCAGCTAGGTCTGGGGCAGAGGACACCGTATGGAGACGAACATAATTCCAGAGAGCCATTCCTGGCGCTGAAGCCCCAGCAAAGGAGTTAGTGCTTCCAAACTATCAGGGTGGTCGGCACCAGGCACAAACCCTGTCTTCTGGACTTCAGGACTCAACGGAGGTCTTCCTGATACGAAAAAGATACTCAGCCCCCTCGGGCTGGGTTAACAAGAAAGGCCACGGGGGTTGCGCCTTCCTTTTACCACAGACACAAGCCCATACGTCAATCGTGGTGCACAGAGAGAGAATCGCCATGGTCAAGGCTTCTCCTTCACCCTGGAAGAGGTCCTTCACCTCGTCCTGGCAGGAGACGACCTTCAGTAGCGCTTAAGGGGGATTTTGCGCTTCTGGTACGGTGAAGCGTTTCTCCGGTAGTACGGCTCTTGGCGCATGACAAAGGGAACGTCCACATAAGCTCTTTTTTGGTGCCATCTGGACCTTGGGGGTATGTTTTCTTCATTGTGGGAGGGGTAAGGCAGAAAGGGACTTGGGGTGGCCCATGGATGGCAGCCAAAGTTGTTGAGGGCCACATCTACAGAGAAAGTAAAACGAGAGTTTGAAGTGGTAGAGAAGATTTCTCTGCTATGCACGCACCTCGGACACACACCCTGGCCAGTTTTGACGATCAAAAAAGAGACATTCACACAACCCACTTATAACTTAATTTCTGATTCATTCATTGTCAGGCCTCACACAATACCCTGAACCACAAACGGATCCAGCAGGGAGGGTTTGCACAAAGCCACCAAAAAACAAATCAAAACTAGCCAAACACTGCATATCGGCCTCTGTAACCACTCCGTTTGCCATGGCTCTGGTGAAACACACTGCCCATGAACATAGCCCATGCCTTGCCAGCCCCTCACTTTGGGCAATCAGCTGGGGAATGCTCTCTGTGCCTATGCGTACAAACCAGGAGATGTGCTCCTTGTTAGCTTGTACAGGTGGTCCTCGGTTAACAACCACTCGTTCAGCAACCATTCACACTTACGTCACTGAACAAGTAGTATTTATGACCGGTCCTCAAAGTTCTGGTCATTGCAGTGCCCATGCAGTCACATTATTGTGATCCAGGCACTCAGCAACCAACCCAGATTTCTGACCGTCGCGGTGTCCTGCAGTCACGCAATCGCGATTTGCAACTTTGCCTGACAGCTTCCCACAAGCAAAATCAGTGGGGAAGCCAGCAGCAAGTTGGAAGTTGCGATCACGTGAGGCCCTTGCTTAACCACCCGCAGTGTTTTGCTTACTGACAATAACCAGGGACTGCCAGAACTGCTGTCGTGCTTTACAACTGCACTGCTCAGCGATGGAAATTCTGGTCCCAATTAGGTTTTCCCTGGCCTCACTTCCCTGAGAAATGACAGTGGTTTCCTTTGCGTGCCATGCCTGCTTCTGGTTGAGCTAGCCATGGCTAAGTGTTAGCCAACATTGGGAGACAGACAGAGCACATGCGCACAAGCACCGACCTCTGAACATGCTGTCTGGGTGGAAGGACAGGCCGCGGGAGTCCTCAAAGCTGGTAAATCCTGAGAAAGGCTCCACTGCCCCCCAATTGTTGGGAACGAGTAAAGAGTCATCGTGGAAACGGGGCAGCTCTGGATAAGGCCTGTAGGCTTCACAATGGGCAGCAAATGTCACCAGACCTGTGGGATCAAGGAAGACCCTTCTTGGCTTCTCAACCACACTCAGCATCAGGGGTGTCCATCGGGTGCAGTCCAAAAGATCAAGATGCTGGCCATGATGGTGCCAGAAAAGCTCCCTCTGCTTTTCGTGAGTGTTGAGTGCAACTTCCATAAAAAGTGGATGGAGCTTGCCATCTTGACTTTTTTGACCATTCCCTGCCAGCACCTCTGCTCAGTGTAGACCTTCCCATGCTTACAAGGCTGGTCAGAGGCTCCAGAAGCACTACGTTGCTGGATGGCGACCTCCAGCCTAATGAAGCCCACCACACTGTCTCTCATGCCCCCCTCCAGCCCCATATACTTGCGCTGTTTGTGGGGCCATCCAGCTATTGGCGTGGGAGATTCCAGGAGGTCGGTGGCGTCTCCATATTGCCTTCTGTGGCTTTCTGTGTATTCTGTAGGGTCTTCTGGTGCAGCCAGCAGCCTGATGCCCTTTGCTTGTTCTGAAGGAAAGGAGGACACTCAGAATTTCACGACACACAGGACATCTTGGAGGAAGCTCTGGGGCCAACCACTTCTTCCATGCTGCTTCCCCAAAGTCAGTGAGGGTGCTACTTGCTCGATCATGGGGCATACCTAAAGGATGCCCCCCCAGCCCATCCGGGTACTTTCAGAGACAACTCAGTGCCCCCCAAATCACCCAGAAGCTGGACTTGCACAATACAGCTTTGTGTGATTTTCCCCATGTTTTAAAACATATTTAAACTATTTTACACTACAAGTAGTCCTTGCCTAATGACCACAATCGGGATTGGGATCTCGGTCATTGAGTGAAGCGGTCATTAAGCAAAACACCCACATGACTGCTTTGTTCAATGACTGCAATCCGGGCACTCCTGGTTGCGGTCATTAAGTGATCTCCCAGGTCGTTAAGCAGACGGAGCAAAATCCTTCAGCAAACAAGCTTTTTTGCTCCGTCCTTTTCCCCTCCCTCTCTCAGTGGTGAATGGCGCACCTGAAGATTTGAGGTCCGCAACTGCCCAGCACTGAAAGGCGAGGGGAAACCTCCCAGCACTGGGCAGTTACAGAGCTCAAATCCTGAAGATCTGCGGTCCATTCCTTCACACCACCGCGTCCCCTCCGCTTGCAACCTTCCCTGCCGGCTTTCAATGGGGAAGTCAGCAGAGAAGATTGCAAATGGTGATCACACGATCACGGGGCGCTTAGCAATGGTTGCCAAGTGCCTAAAATGCGGCCACGTGACCACGGGGTGGGAGGGAGAGCGGTGTGACATTTTACGATGGGTGGAAGTGCTTTACGGGCCATAAAGCACCCTTTCCGAGACCGTCATAATTTCGAACCATCGTTAAATGAACAGTCGTTAAGCAGGGACTACCTGTTTTTTTTTTTTAATTAAGCTTCATTTTCTAAACTCAGTGCTCAACGTTTTAGTTTCGTCTCTGAGGAATTTCCTTTTTTCCTACAAGCGTCCACCTAAGCAGAGGAAAATCCTCACCGAAGTAGGTCGCCCTGCCATTTCATCAGCTCAGTGGCCACAGAAGTTTCACACCTCATGCCAAGAGCGAGGTTTGGCTGGGAGAAGATGGAAAGCACCAGTTTTGGTTCAGAAAAATCCAAAGCCTTGGCTCCAGGCTGAGGATGAGAGGACGCCCACCTGGAGTAGAGGCATTCTCCGGGAACAGTTAGCCAGGCATCTTCCAGGAGAAGGGGAGGAGGGGAAGGCCCCCAGCCCTCCTGCCTCAGAGGGGATGCTCTGCTCCCCGGCCTGCCATACCGCCTCTACTCTGCCCGCTTAGACTTGGAGAAGATGGCATGGCCCAAGCCCCGGGAGAATTCCAGGTTTGCCCATCAGAAAGCAACAGTGTTGGAGAGGCTGCCCCTTCATCCTCAAGACGCCAGCTGGAGCAATGGATAGGTCTTTTATTTTTTATTTTATTTATTAGATTTGTACACCGCCCACCTCCCCGCCTCTTCCACTTCCATTTTACACAGAGTTTAAATTTTACTACCAGAAGGAATGAAGCTAAATTGGGGTTTTTTGTAGGCGTTTTAAGAAAGTTAAAGCATCTACTCCAAAGGGGAGATGGTCCCATGCTTTGGAGTTTTTTAAGAGGCAAAACAGCTGCTTTAAAAGCCCTCCCAAGATTCAGGATCCCCACTCCCTCTCGCTTAAAACCCTCTAAGTGCTTCCCAAAGTGCTAAAAATTTCAGCTCCTGGGCCAAAAGAAAAGTTACCCAGCTCTGCTCAGCTGAGGGACAGCTCTTCATTAGAATGGGTCAAAGCAGTTTGTAGCAAGAGGGCAAGACTGGAAGAAAATGTAAACTAGCCAACTGCAAAGTAGGCCAGCCGCTCACCCTGGTGCCATGGATGGGCAATCTGCAAGGCGATACAGGGTTGTAATCACTGATTATCGTGTCTTGGAAAAAAATCTCAGATTTCATCCCTTGGGTCACAAGAGTGGCTAGGAAACCCTCAGCCTGAAACCTGGGCGATCCCTTTCCGTGTAGATCTATCTTCTCCAATCTGACACCCTCCAGATATGTTGGGGCAACAACTCCTAGAGTGCTGGCTTGGAATTCTGGGCGTTGTAGCCCTCACATATCTGGGGGACACCAGGACGGAGAAAGTCGTACACAAGGGGTGGGTCGATCCTGGGCTGCAAAGGACCTTTGAGTTAACCCATGTGACCCTCAACCTAATTCCAACACCCATCAGCAAGAAGTTGGTTCAGACATCTAAGATGGATTATTTCTGCTTTCCCAGCCACCTGAAACAGAGACTAGCAGAGGTCAAGAAGAGAAAGGATGTCTGTCTATTGCTGTCTTTGGCCTCACCAGCACCCTCCGCTGTTTGCTGCAAGGGCACGCATCCTTGAAGAAAAAGATCCCCCACTTCTCCTGGAGTTAGACGGACCCTGCTTTATCGTCGTATAAGGCATATTTCTGCCTTATATGGAAACAAAAAGAATAGAAGAATACTGGCCATCCTTCTACTCACCTTGCCAAGGATTCTTGTCTGGGATCACGATGCCCCAGGCATCCGCCACATGAGTCAGCAGAAGGTTGGTGATCCTGCGATGCACCACATTGTTCCAGTGGATGCCATCTTTGACACGGTTCCCCACGTCGAAGCGGAAGTGGAAGTGGAGGTCCACCACATCAAACAGGTGGAGGCCAGCCAGGGTGGCCCCGTAGAAATTGCCCTCAATGATGTCCTTGCGGAGAGTCTTGTTCAAGTGCTGCAGCTGGGAGACAATAGAAAACAGTGGGTAGACTTCCTTGATTGGGTGGGGAAGGCAAAGAAGCGAAAATGCTCTATTATGATAGTCATTTTCCAGCAAACGTCCTGAAGCCAATCAATACTGGAACAATGGACAGCAAATGTCCACAAATGTTCCAATAGAAAAGAATATATGTTAATTCCAATGCTAATTCCAATAGAAGAGAATAACAATACCCTAATCAAGGAACTTCAGAGGAGGAAACCACACCCCCACCAACCCTGGCAGGGCAAGCTACTGAATATAAACAGAGCAAAGCCCACACTCCCTTGCACTGCAGAAGTTACCTAGTCAGGTCATGAAACGTCTGCAAGCAAACAACCAAGCTCAGAGAACACCAAGGACTCTACTGTCCACAAAAGTGGCTGCTGGGTCAACTGTAAGCTGTAAGTGTCTTTCTGACAACTGTCTGTTCTGCTGCCCACAGAAGGACAGCCTTCCAACAGGGAGAGAGAGAGCCAGATGAGGAAAATCCTCCACTGGGGAATTTCTTCTCTTACCTCTGGTATAAGGAAGCCACCCTTGATCTTGGGGCCAAGGGGCATGGTCATGTTCCAGATGACCAAGCAGGAGGATGGGAGCTCAGCATCCAACCTGTTGAAGGCGGTCTCCAGGTTCTTGCGGTATTCCTTCATAGAAGACGGGCCATATCTGCTCAGGGTGATAACAGGGTCTCTTGCCTTACCAAGGGACTGAAACCTAGTCGATTCCCACAGGATTTAAGGCCTTTAAACAACAGAGATCCCTCTGAAGATCATCAAAAGGTTGATACCTGCCCCAGAGGTATACACTACCTGGATACATCCCAAACACAAGAATTGAGGATCAAAACATCTGGCTGTGGACCAACCCGGAAATCATTGAGGATGCTTTCCAGGTACACTGAGTAGACCCGTGTCAGGAAGTAGAACCGGACAAGGTGATAGCGGGTGCGATACTGACGCACCTCCCGATAATGAATTCCATTGTGCAAACCATCAAGCATGCCCCCTTCAATTAAGTGGTCATTTTCAAAACTGAATTCCCCCTGGAGAGAGAAAAGGACAGAAGTTATATAAGCGCTGGATATACTACCTCCAATACAAGAGGCAGCACACTTCACAGAAAAAGGAATTTGGCAGCAGAGTTCAACAGGAGAAAGAAAAATGGAAGAGAAGGGCATTCCTATCTAGCCGCAGGTGTTGAGTGACTATTTTTCATCAGTATGGGTTGAAAAAGTCATCTCCTGAAAGTTGCTGATTGCCCACTGTGGGTGGTTGAATGATTCCTGCTGAGCAAGCAGATCCTTCAGAAATTTCATAAGGAATATAAGGCTACCAGTTTCCAGGAAGCTGAGCAAATAAACAAGCTGAGCCAATAAGTGTTTGGTAGAGGAGCTTAGAGAGAAGGTCCCTTTAAGTAGACAGCACAGAAGAGATGATGGATGAAGATTATTCTGCAATCACAGTCTGCAGTGTTTGTGGCATATCAGTGATCCTTTAAAAAAGCAAGGAACCAGTGGAGTAAGATTTTTCTGATCTGCTTGCTACATTTCAGAGACTCTCTTGAGAAAGGAATCACCTAAAACAGGCAGATATAAACATAAGACACTGGAAAGGAAAAGGAATAAACATAAATTTAATAGCCAAATTTATTTTTCTTGCAATGCTTTTATTCCTGTCTAAAAGCAAAACATAAGTATGCAGGAAACGCAAACTCATTGCAGTGCCTGACAATTAGAGCACTGCATGGCCACATTTCAGCTGCTAAAAGAGGATGAGATTTCTTGGTCTAAAGCAGTGTTTCTCAGCCTTGGCAGCTTTAAGCTGTGTGGACTTCAACTCCCAGAATTCCCCAGCCAGCATGCTGGCTGGGGAATTCTGGGAGTTGAAGTCCACACAGCTTAAAGCTGCCAAGGTTGAGAAATACTGGTCTAAAGAAATGTGGCACTACAACAACTGAGAGAGTTCTAGTCTTCCTGTGGAGTTGATTTTTTGGTCTGGTCTACCTAGTGGGGCTGACAAGAACTGGAGATTCAGCTAGCATTCCCTCCCATCTCTCCAGTTCCTGGAAGAAGATTGGGAAGGAAAACAACACTGTTGTTACTGGCTCCAGAAATGGTCTCAACAAGAAGGATCTGTTTCTGCAACCTTGACATACTTCACCTGGATGATGGACTTTTCATACACCTTCCCAATACTGAGAAGAATGCGTCTGGCCAAAGTATGGTGAGCTTGATCGAAGGCTTTAATAGCAATATATGAACTGAATTGAATTGAAACATCTGCCAATCTTATTGAGATGACTTTAAGCAGCATACAAAAATTAAAACCCAAAAAGTCCCATACATAAATAATAAAATCAATATTCAAAAAACTGTACTCTATCACATGCCTGGGATCAAAAAAACTACCACTATAATCACTGAAACAGTAACTAAACAACTAGACAACAGGGCTCAAGTAATCTCCCAGTCCAATGCCTGTGGGAATATCCAGGTCTTTAACGCCTCGTGGAAGGCCAGAGGGCTCATGGCCATCCAGATCTCGAGGGGAAGTCTGTTCCCACGGGGCAGGGACAGTCACAGAGAAGGCATGACTTCTAGGTCCCCACAAGATCACACTGTCTAATTAACAGGAACCAGAGTATCCCAGCTCTGCCAGTTCTGGTGGGGAGAGCAGAGACAACTGGAGATAGGTGGTCTTGCAAATAACCTGGTCCTATATTATAATAGGGACTGGAGATGAAAATCTAGAATAAATAACTTTTTGCAAGAACATAAAAGCCAAGTTGAGGGCCATTCATTGTGGAGAAAATCTATCTTGGCGGTTGATAAGAGTTGCTGCCGACTTGAGGCATTTAATCAATCAATCAGAAATGCATGCACTGCAGGAAGAAATGAGGGATAACCATATTGTGGTTATGAAACCATTAATAAAAATTCAGGAAGAACGTTGAAAAGAATTGTTCAGTAATTTTGTCTACTAAATATGCAAAATATACAAGAGTTTGACTCATCAATGGAAGTAAGGTGAATTTCAGGCATACCTGAGACCATGTGAGGTGATTCTCATGAATGGAACATAGCAAATGAAGGCTTCAAAAGGAACAGGAGCAACCCAAACAAGAGGAGAACACTGTATGTAAAGCCATATTCACATCTATACACAAAGCTAAGGGTTTGAACTTTGTGGTACTGGTGGGAGCGAATGGGTCAGAATGAGAAATATGCCCAGAACTGTTGTTGGTGTGGCCACCACAGACCACCCAAGTCAGGAGAAGATGTGGAAGATGTTTTCCAAAGCAAAATGCACATCTTGAAAAGAAGCATGAAGGAGTCGTGATGGGGGTTTTTAATTACATGACTTGTTTGATGACAAACTCTGCTAAGCAGGGTCCTTCCAGGAAATTCCAGGCAACTTTCTCTTTCAGAAGCTGTAGAAAGGCACAGAGACTGAGAACCCTTCACCTGACTGGAAATGATAGTGAAGATTTAGTAGACAAAGTGGTCATAGCAAGAGATTTAATGGAAAGCGACCAAGTAATGCTGGATTTTGTTTTTGTTAAGAGAACTTACAGCTGAGTGCTCAAATGCATCCTTTGGACTCCAAGAAAAGGATTTCAATAAATTCAGAGCAATGGGACATAAGATTGCACAGCAGGGGAAACTGACAGAGGAGGAGCTCAAACATGAATGGAAGCTCCTAAGAACAGAGATACTGAAACAACTGCAAACAATTCCAGTGAAGAACCAAAAAAATGGAGGACAACAGAAGTTTCATAAACCTCTGAAAACAAGAAGGACACATATGGAAAAACAGCCAGATCACCAAGAAAAGATGGATACGGGTAGCCTGGAACTGTGACCCTGTTCCAAAAGCTCAGAATGAGCTAAGGTTGACAAGGGATGCTGAGAGCAACCAAAGAACTCCAAACGAAATGAAGCAAAAAGAACCAGCTATTCAAAGAAGATGTCAAAATGAGAATAAGGATAAAAATAAATAAATAAAAGAGCCAGCTCCTGTTTTAGTACTGTGTTCTCTGAACCACTTTGACTTAGCATTCTGCATGAACCAGGCTGTTATGGCTTGCTCAACAACCATGGTTAAAAAATCCAGCCAAGCGTAATTTATAAAGACAGCCTTTGGATGGCCACCTACCCTGAGAGATTACAGCATCTGATGCTTCGCTGTGCCAGCCCAACGAAAGCTTGCAATGGGTGTGTCCAGGAATGACACTGAAGGGAGTTTCTGATAGCCCACAAGGAACGCATGTTTCCAGAGCAGCTGCATGTTACTTTGCATAAGATGGAAGAGAACATCTCAGGAGGTACAAGATCACCTCTTCCTTCTCTTCCAAAACCCCCCAGAACACAGCTGTTGCCTGCCCCACAAGACCTCGTTAGCTGGTTACCTTAGTCTTCATTTGGGATGAGGTGAGTAAGGAGTCACTCTGGAGTACCTGAATTAGATCCTTGTAGACAGATCGCTGGACTGCAGAAGGAGGAAGAGAGATGAGAATGGAGTTAGTCTCCCCTCTGGGACTTCACAATTCAAGCTGAGAAGAGCTTCTGCAGAAGATCTCACATCTGGGGTGGGAGAAGTGAGCCTTTGGTTCATTTCAGGTAAGTAGGAGAGATATGAACAAAGGCAGACTTCACAATGGAGATGCCACCTCGGCCATAAAATAGGGTGCCATTTTCTCTTCATCTTACCACCTGCTCCTCCCATCCTTTGGCAATGAAAAAAAAATCACACTCTGACCCCATCCAAGAGATCCATCACTAGGGGTTGTCCCGGATGTGAAGCACCTCAGAAAGGTTCTCAACCTTCACACCCTGTGACGGCTCAATGCTTCTGTTTAGAACAAGCCAGAAATGTTTTAAATGAAATTTGTATCGACTCAAAGACTAAAGTCCGTGCTAAATTGGCAGAAATTCCCAGCATGGCTTTCTAACCAGGGAAGGGAGTGGCTTACAACCCTGTTCATTCTTCAGAAAGTAAATTAGATGCTTGGAGCTATAATATCAGAGCAATTAGACAATATTTGCCTTCTGTGCTACTGGTGGGAGCTCCGCACGAGAAGAACATTTGCAACTCCTATCATTTTATCCATGAGAGATTGCAGGGTGTGAAATCCACACTCCCAGAAGAAGGCAGGACAGGGAAGGTTAATGCATTTTCTGAATTCTTCTCCAGAGGAAGGGAGATACCGTTTCTTTTGCCAACAGAGATGTGTTGAACTGTAACACCCATCACGCCTTGACCATCTTCCCCACCATTCCAGATAGATTTGACCCACGGTTCCCCATCTGATGTTGTTGGACCTGAATGTCCCAAAAACCATAATGAGCGAGCAATAGCCACTGACCCTTTTGCGTGGCTAGATGGGAGCTGTAATCCAACACAACTACTAACCCAACATAACATCAGGCTGGGGAAAGCTGGGTCTGAATAGCCAAGTATGAAGCAACCAAGGAGCTGGGAGCTCTTCCCCTCATCTTCGAAGCCTGCACTCACTTGAGTCCCCTAAGATGACGACAAACTTGTTGTGCAGAAGCTGACGGACCTCCTTCGAATTCAAGCGGAGCATCGCGGGGGAAAGGCGTGGCCTTCTGAACAAGGGGAGTTCAGTGCCTGGAAGAGAAATACCCCATTCTCAAGTGCCTGTCCCAAAGTTGCTTTCTCCGCAGCCACGACAAAAACTCCCATCATTGGGAAGGAAAAGCTGAAGAACCAGAAAGATCTCACAAGCTGAAAGCTTTCTCCCAGACTGCAAACAGGAAGGTGCAGGGTCCAAATCTGGGAAAGGCACTTCAGATCCAGCACGGGTATCTGCTGACAGCTCTGTAAAGAAGCTGAATCTCTTCCTGGCTCTAAGCAGCTACCAGGTGAGCCCAGGAACAGGTGTGAATTTTATCACAAACAGCCAACAGTATCACAAGCACCAAATACTGCTCAGCTGTAATAATCAGGCTGGCCTGGGGTACAATTCCTAATACAACATTATTCTGGCCAAGTCCTACTAGAGCAATGGGTGGTTGGCATAATATGCTAATTTGACTTGACCGTGAATCCGTGTGCTGTGGGAACTCCAGCCACTGTGGTTTGCAACACCAGCATGTTGAGCTAACCCAGCCCACTGTGGTTTCTTCAGCAAACGGTGGTTAAATTGCTTAGCCCATGCCAACTGGATTACAGGTTAACACCATTATGTGACATCACTCCACCAGATGAAAACCATCTTGCTAGGGGAGCAGGACCTTAACTGGAGACTGTCCAATAGTCTGCTGTTCAGGCAGAAACAGTCTTCCTCTCACCAACTCAAAGGGGTTGAAAAACCTACTTATCTTGTAATTTTTCTCTGGCAGCTGAACTTTCAGCTTGGGGAGTTTTTATAGTGTTATTGGGGAGGTGCATGAAAATGAGTCAGATAGCTAAGCTTCTAAAAATCAAAGCTGTCAGATTTATACCTGATGTTATGTCCCACTTTGCTCAACCCTAGTTCATTGAATAAGCCATGATTGCAGCCCTCTTAAAGTTGGGTTCATGCCCACCGACACCCCTGCAGCCCTCCAGATGTTGAGTTCACACAAACTTATGGCCCTCCAGATGCAAGCCTCACATATTGTACACATCGGCAGCCTTCCCGTCTCTCGAATATCACATCAGGCAAGGTAATAAATCTGAGTGTTCAGAAACTCAAGTAACCAGCTAACAGCCATAAGGACATCCGCTGTCTGGCTAATGGCAAAAATGCTGCCGTGACACATAACCCTAACTGCACAGAAGAAGCCATACATACGCCAAAGATCTTCCTGCTGCAGGACAAGGAAACCAAGCCCCACATATACACGAGCTGCAAGGTTTAAAACCACCTAGAATCTATTGGATTTTTCCACCTCCTCCAACAAGGCCACACCTTTGGGCCAATCTCTTCCTGGCCTTGAGAGATCTGCTCAACACTTAAATGATGCTCCTGCTGGTGTGCTCACCTCGATAGCTCTTACCCAGACGTGGCTGGACTTCCCCTCCCAAAGGCACCTGACAGAGGCCACAATGCAGGCAGTTATAATGCAGCCACCTCTGGAGGACCCAAAGTTGCTCCCCTCTCCCGCAGCAATGAAACCCTAACAGCTGGTTCACCCCACACCCCAAGCAAACAAGCCACATCATGGTTTAGTGCATGAATCATATCACTGTAAAAGGGAAAGGAAATAGAGAATTCATGGTGAGCCCAGAGCTACGGCCTCAAAGGTGCCTTGCAGGTTCTGGTCCTCTCCATCCTGGCCACACCAGCGGCAGCCACCGCGCTCCCGAGATTTAATCAGTTATTTATTTATTGAAAGAATTGATACGGCCGCCCAACTTAACAATGCGACTCTGGGCCGCTCTGCAAGCAGCCACCCAGATAAAAACAGCCATCAGCAATAAACAGAGATGCACAGCCTCCCAGCTGATTTCACAGGAGACCTGCCTTGCAACTGTGAAGCTCCCCAATTCAAGAGGCCTCCTTTAAAACCAAGATTGTTTCATGCCCAGCAGCAGAACGTCATTCAGAATGAGTGACAACAGCCAACCCCAAGCTGGGAAAAGCTGTGCTAAGATCGAGGCTGGCCATTTAAGTCATCCCCACCGTCACCCCTTCCCCTTCTCAGAAATGTTGACGTTCAAACGTTTGCTTTTTTTTTTTTCAGGCAGGACTTCTTCACAATAGACCTCAATGCTACCTCCTAGGCGTGTTCCCCCGATCAACAAAAGGGGACAACTTCAAAGTTAAAAGTTCACACAACTCCACCAGACATTTTGTAGCCTGGAAGAAGTCAGCTGGGAAGGGCCTTACTGTAATGCCAGACAAAAGCCATTCAGAGAACACAACAAAACCCTCTGACGCAACTTTGTGGCCAAGAAGCCATCGCAGGAACACAAATGTTTCTGTTCTACCAACACTTCCCAAAAATGTCTGGAGTGCTAGAAATGTCATACAATGCTCCAAAAAGCCTTGCCAGGAAGATCAGAGACTTACCAAGGTCACCAGCAGGCTTTACAGCAGAGGCAAGATTCAAACCCAGATCTTTCCAACCAGCAGACTGCTTGTCCAATGAAAAGATTCTCCAGGACAAATGTATTGTAACGTTGCAGGAGAAAAGACATTTAAAAAGCAAAGGAATCAAGGAAGAGGCAAAGTGATACTCCCCCTCCCATATTTTGGACTACAGAATCCAAAATCCCATACTATGGACCAGACTGGCCCAGGCTTATAGGTACTGTAGTCCAAGACATCTGGAGAGCTTGGGTACCATTTCTGGCACCGACTGCCAATGATATGGGGAGATGTCAGGCTAATCCATCCAGCCCCTGCTGCTTCCACCCCCAGCTGTTTTCCCCCCTCTGGGTTAGCCTTCGAGTCCAAGAAAAAGCCACTGCGAATTTTTGGTTGTGGTTTTGTGGTTTTCCAGCCCACACTGCAGACCCTGGAAACATCCCCAACGAACTGCAAGTCCCTTGAGTCTTCGTTTTTCTCCGCCCTTTTTCTCAAAAGCCAATTTCACCAAAGCCTTTTTAAATAAAACAACAAACGACAAAATCACTAATACAGTATAGCCAGCCAAAAGAAGTTTGGTTTTTGCAAGGATTAAAAGGGGAACCAGGCTACCAATGAGAAAGCAGTTTGAAGTCTAAGTGGTGAATTTCTGCCCCTACTGTGGTGAGCCACGAGGTAGCCAGTGGCTCTAACCACTAGGGAGGGGGCTACGTTGAATCCACAGCGCCCCCCCCCCCCGCAAACTGCCCTGGTCCAGCTCTAACTACGGAAAAACATGATTTGTTAGAAAGGGTGTGCCAGTCCACAAGGGCACCTGCAGGGGCAGGAACTGTCTCCCCCACGACTCCCAGCTGCAAGGAGTCTAGAAGAAGACAAGCTTGCTAGGATCTGAAGGTCTCTTCCCCTTCCATTCAGTATGGCTCCCATCCCTGTTGTGAAGCTTGTCCTCCATTTGTGTCCCCCCTCTGGAAGCTGGCTGGGATCAGCCATGCCTCGCTGTTTCTCACATGCCCTCTTCCTCAGGCAGGAAGAGAGTTAAGGCAGGATGTGGACCTCAGTGGGTTTCAGGGTGGGCTGTTTGCTGTCAAAGTCTTAGCAGCACCTAGAGTGGTCTGTTTACTCCCTTGGCCAACAGGGAGCAGTACCTCACTGGTGGCAGTGGTGGGATCTGGCAACAGGGGACCAGTCCCTGCCACCCCAGCAAGTGCCAAGGGGGGTGACTGGCAGAGGAGAAAGACCCCAAAGAGAGTCCCTTGGTCTTCTATGGTCCAATGGCATTTGGCTGGCAGACAGGAGCAACAGCAACACAACTCATTCACCTGCAAAGATTGGCCACAGTTGACAAAATATCCAGGGGGGGGGGAAGAAAGAGAGCTTTCTGGGCCAACCCCCAAAACAGGAACCAACCAAGGAAGGGCCAAAGGTCTTAAAGCAGTGTTGTCCAAACTTGGCCACTTTAAGATGAGTGGACTTCCACTCCCAGAATTCCCCAGCCAGCCATGCCAGTCATCTTAAAGTGGCCAAGTTTGGACAACACTGTCTTAAAGGAACAAGCCCACCAGCAGCTGGTGCCCATGGAGCTATCTGCTGCTTGACTTCCTACAGGCTTAGATGATGCAACAGCAACCTAGAGAAGAGGAAGACAGCTGTTGGGAAGAACTAGAACGATGAGACTGTCTAGACAGAGATCAGCAAGAACAAGTCCAGCAGGATGCAGAACGCTGTGACCTTCCTGAGTGAGAGTGATGGAGAGAGGAACGGAGATCACCAAGGGCAGTTGGGAACCATCTTGGAGTCTAGCAGGGTGAGCCTCCTGTTTCATGTCTTCTCTCTGCCCTGCCTCACCTTGATATAAAGTTAACTAAGCCAGTTGAGGATGAGGAAAAAGACTGATAGGTCGTTAGGATGGGCAGGGGGCAACCTTTTGCAAATGGCCTGGAGTTGGCAGGTGACAAGACTGGCTCCCTCCCTCCTTCCACCCACCCACCCACGGTCAGGACAGACAGGACACTGGTTTGGGCATCCATCAGGCCAAAGTATGTCCTCCATGAGGATGTTCCCAGGCAACAGTTCTGAGCCTACCATTTCAGGTCACAAGATGGGTGCCACGAAGCCCTGGCACAACTCTGGGAATTAGGCTAGACTGAAATGTTAAAAAAAAAAAAAAAACTCAGAAGAGGACCATTACTTGCATAAGGTTGTTAAGAAAACAGCATGGGAGCTGAGGTCTCCTTAAAAAGACTTTTCATCCACCTTAGGCATATTTTATAGAAACCCAGACTAGAAAACTAATCAATCATTCCGTCACATGATTTTCTATCCAGTGGGTGCAAGGAAGGCCGGCCTGCAGGTTCCCCCAAAGTCTAGTTAGATCATGTGGCTGATGCTCATTTGAGAATTAGCTTTTTCCAAGGAAGAGTTCCCTTCCCCCGTGCGCACACAAACGCACACATGCACACAATCTTTTCAGTTTTTCCTTGCAGCTGCCCTTCCCTGCTTCTGGGCTCAACCTGACCTTGGAGACAGAGAAGAGAAAGCCTTACTGGATCTCAGCTGCCCAAACAGCTTCACTCCTACTCAGTTATAATCATCCAGACCTTGAGCGAAACTGGGCTGCCTTGCCAAAACTCAAACCAGAAATGAAAGTCCCTCAACCAAGACGCCAAATTGTCTGAGCAAGCCCCGCAGGAACATCCGTATCAGTCTGCTGCAGAAAACAATCCCCGATCATCCAACCTGGCTTGCATGATCAGACTGGGTCATACATTGTGCTAAGCCATGGTCTGCTGAATCAACTCCTGCATACTAAGCCCTCATTTGCAAGCCACCCCACGGCTTGGGGTGATGGGAACCCAGCGAGAGGCAAGAATCCACAGGCAAGGGTGCAAGTCTTTCCCAACCCACAGAGAGAGAGTTAGCTGGTCTTGAGAGACCCCCAGGTTCTCTCAACCACACAGAGCGGGAAAAGTAACCGCCTCATTTATTGAAGATCAACATAAAGGAGGAATCTTCTCAAAAGGAAGAAGACCCCTGAACAATTCCACACCTCAGGTTTTATAACCAATTCCGCCCTTGCCCAATCACCTGTTTATAGCAGTTATATACATTAACCATTTGCTATTAATAATTCGGCAGATAAAAGCACACATTTTTGCTTTGAAGCTTTTCCTTTGTGCCCAGTTCCCTGTCCGAAGGTCACCTGGCCACAAGGCCTTGCATTGTCTCAGCAAGCATCCTGTTGCTTTTCTCAAAACCCCTATTCAAGCACTTCTCCCACACTTCCCCGTTCCTTTCCCAATTTAGGACTAGCCTCGTCCTCCCTTTGGCAATCAGAACAAAAACACATATAATTTGTTGCTTCCTCTAGTTCAACCCTCTCCCACTCTGTGTACCCTCCCGTGCTCTGACCTTCCAATTGCACATAATCTTCCTGATCACAACCCTCAGTTGAGATTACCACCTCCAACCAGCAGGCCCTTGGTTGCACTGGTGGGGATTATGGAACTTGCAGTCCAGTCATCTGAAATGCAGCAGGCTGGAGAAGGCTGCTGAGGCCCTAACCTGCCCTGGCAACCTCATTCTTCTGCTCTTTCTCCCCCCTGCCCCGATATTGCCTTCACCCATCCCCACAAGTGTGGGACATCTTAAATTGTCCCTCCTGGTCCCCGTGCTTAAGCAGGCTTTCCCCCCTCCCCGTATTCCCCGACCATCCCACAGCAGCTCAAGGTGTGTTAAACCTGCAGGGCTCTGTCCTCCTTCCCCTTTCTGGCCACAGGACAGCAGGGCAGATGCCAACCACAAGGGTTTGGCAGCATGCAGTTGAAATGCTGGAAAGCAGGCAAGAAGTTCACAGACTTTCTATTGCACGCTTGTCACTTTCAAGGTGCAAGGACAGGCTCTTTAGAGGAGCCCCCCTTCTCCCCACAATCAAGTGAGGCCCATGCCAGGTCAGTTTCCAAAAGGGCTGAATGTAAGCAGCCTTTCAAACAACAGACACATGAAATGTAAGGTGAGGAAGGGGCCTTGGAGATAAGCTAGTCCAACCCCTTGCTCCATATAGAAATCCCAGTCTATGAAAGGAGGGAGATCAACAGAAGAGGAGGTAGAGAAGTCTACAAAATACAGCTGATTTAAGCACAGGCTACCTGCAGCCCGTCAGAGAAGAAGCAAGGTCCATGAACAGAAGCTCCAACTCTCTCCCACCCAGCCTGGATCTGCAGCCAGTGACTTTTATAGGACTGGGCTTCAACCCCCTGATCCATCCTCCTAGGTGGGTAAAGGCTGCAGCTGTGGTTCCAGTCCTCAGGTTCGCCTTAACCCCTTGCAGCCAAGTCTGCAGCATCTCAAGAGCTTGGAAGGGCTGGCTCCTGGTGCTTTCCCTTATGGCCCACTTGGCCACCCCTGACCTTGGGGGGAATTGAGTGGCTGGGAGCCAAGGCAAGGCAAGGCAGGCAGGAGAGGGATCACAGAACTCCGGCTTCTCTGAAAATGTCAAACTCATGGGCAGAAACCGTCCGAGACAAAACAGAGGAACAGCTCTGGTTGCCAGGAAAGGGAGGGCAAGCCCTGTCAGAATGTGGATCCCAGGGAGATGTTCTGCTCTAAGGGGACATGGGGACAGCCCCATTAGGCAGACCAGCCCAGGAAATCAGCTCCACGGGAAGATTAAAGCTACTTTTACTGAGATGGGCTAGAATAACAGCATCTTGCAAGTCGGATTGTGCCGGACCTCCTCCCCCTTCTTATACTCCTGCGAATCAGGGAGGGGTCTGTCTCAGCCCTTCCTAGCTTTAGCTGGATGTTCTGGACCTTAAAAATGCTTCAGCCCCTTTTGCCTAGGAATGGGTCCTACAGACCTCTGCCAAGGTCATCTTCCTGACTCTCTACAGGTGGTACAATAGCAGCAGGTCAAGGATCAAATGGGGACAACCCACCGGTCTTGTTTTCCGGCATCTCAGGGCGGGGCAGAGCATGCTTCTAACTCAGCAGGGGAGAACCCCCATCAATCTAGCCAGAAGCCTCGGGCCACCCTCAAAACCAGTGTTTCTCAACCTTGGCCACTTTAAGATGGGTGGGCTTCAACTCCCAGAATTCCC